CATTCTTCACCATTTTCGTCACTTTTCTTTGTAATTACTGTTTTTCATAATTTTATCATGTATTACTTTCTATTCTTTTCAATTCTTTATCATTGCAATTTAACTGCAACAAAACTAATTAATTGATGATCAGATAAAACTGATTAAATACTAAAACTTTCATAATAAATAATATAACGATTGCACTATGTATCAATATGTACGAGATATATTGACTATCGTACCTGATTTATGTTATAACATATATCAGGTAACTTGTGATAGTTAATAAATGTGAAGCAATCCTGAATTAATGTGTAAAATCATCAATTGCAATTGCAGAGTAATTCTTTTATTATATTTTGCATTTAACGCATTAACCACTGATCAACCGCTCGTCCATTAATAATCTATTCTTAAATCGTACCTACCATTTTAACACTGCATTAAGCTTTTTTAACTAGCATTTATCTTCTTTTGAATCAAAAAACAATCATTTAACCTTAAATAATTATTTTTTATTGAAACATTTCTAAACATTAAATTGCTTAATTGCATTCTGTTGTTTCAATCAGTTATTGTTGTTTAAATTGATATGATTGAATGTAATCAGTTTTAATTTTATTCAGAGAAAATTAATTTATAACTTTTAAAAAAATTTTGCGTGCTTCAAGAAGCAGAATGATGGATCGGTTTATAGCAAATTCTGTGAAGCGATAAAATTACTTGAAACAAAAGCTGCCGCAAGGAAAAATTCTGATTAAGGAAAGGACCATTTTAAATTGGCACAGCGCAGTTTCAGAGCGATGAATGAATGTCAAAAAAATTTTATTCCATGCTCCCCTGAGAAAGTTTATACATAAAACATGTTTTGACGTTCAAAAATTTTTCTTTTACTTTCACTTGTCATCTTTATTGAATGTTATATCTTCTTCAAATTTTTAAACTAAATTTGAATAACTTTTACAACTCTGAATCGAAAATGATCTGAACTGTATTTTCTTAAAAGTATATATATTCATAAAACATTGAAAAATTATTACTTTTTCTTCGATTATTCTTTTTCATCCTAATTTGAAAAGCGAGTAAACATTTAAATATTTTAATAAATCTGACTTGTTCATAAATTTGCTGCTACTAATCTAATAGTTTTATTGCTTTGTTTTGAAACATCAATTTAAGAAAGTACTCTTTTGCCAGTCAAATTTTTTATCTTGATAGGCAAGCAGTGAACATAATTTGCTTTGCTAATTGTTTAAAGTTTTTAATGAAAAGTATTCAAATTTTCAAAAATTAATAATTATTCATCCTTTATTCGTATTATTTATCTAGTAAACAAGTTTATTGCTAAAGCCTTAGTTAGCGTTCATTTTATTTCCAGAGTATTTATTTATTTGTCAAATTTTTACTTATTCTTTCTTGATTGTCACTAATGTTAATTCTTTACGACATCTCTTGTTCTATCATGTAAATTAATGACTAAACGTTACTTTAGTATCATATTTTTGAATAATACTTTTACAGGATTGATGGTCACTGTTTATAAAAAGATATTTATTTATATGATGTCAGTTTATTTATTATTTGGAGTAGTACTGATAACTTTTTTCTAAGTTAACAGAGGTAAAAATTTGACAGGTAAAGCATACATTTTTGCTTTTCACAGCAAATTTATCCTTTTTCACGGTTTTGCCGAAAGCAAAATATTTGTTTTGATAGCACTTTTCTCAGTCATTTCTGTTATTACAGCGTAAGCGAAATTTAGTGCATAGTTTCAGAAGTAATTCAAAACTTAAAAATAGTTTCAAATTTCATAAAGAGAGTTACATTTTTTTCTAAACTGTTAATTTTTCGATATTGCTGAAATAATTGGGTGCTGTTATACAGTTTGAAGGTAAATAATGGAAAACGACGACAAGCAATTGCCACTGTGTAGCATTTGCTTGGGTTCATCGGATTCGGAATATATGGTAAGTTTGACTGCTGTTATTATTTTTAGTTTCAAAAAATTCTTTGCATTAGTTATACATTTTCAGTAGAAATGTCATGAAAACATTATTCGTGTTTTTCAACAAATATTTACTAAATTGCAAATTTTATAATTCGATTTTTTTTTGCGAATTATTTAACTTTTTTTCTAACTCTTGAAAATTTTTTGAAGCTTTTTCAGTTTTATCGACTTTTTTTATCTCAAGATTTTTCGTCATTTTAAAAATGCAAGACAAAAAAATGTTACAACAATGAAGAAATATAAAAGATAAAAATTGATCACAATTGCTAGGAATCTCGATCACCAGTATTAATTAGGATTATTTTGTAGAAATACAACTTGGTAGTATCAGGTGCAGTACTACCACTTGTTGGCTTGGTTGGTATCGTTGGTAATTTTCTTGTAATTGCTGTTTATGGTAGTCGAGAACTACGCAACCATTCAACAAATATTTACTTGGCAGCTCTAGCATTAAGTGACTTTTGTATGATTTGGACAGCAATTGTTTTGTACGGATTAGAAGCTTGGAGGCATCATGGGCCACCAGGTGATCTACAAATCTTAACAATTTTTTAAATTAATACAAAATGAACTATTCATTCAATTTCTCTGGTAATTTAATTAAGAAAAATACAATTTTCACATTATTTTAGTACAGCCATTGCAACAGAAGTAAAAATTTCTTTGCATATTATGCTATGAATTGATGTATTGAACAATTTTGCATGTAAAATTCCAATTTCGTTGCAAAATGTTTTGCACTGACTTTTTGCTAGTAATTAGCTGTTTTTTTAATCATCTGAAATTATTTAAAATAGTAACCAAAATTACAATTTGAACATTCAGTTTTGGCAACAATCTATGGCAGAAGTGCCCTATTTGTTTTTCCAATCAGTACCGTTCTGCAAACCACTTCGGTATATTTTTGTGTGGCTGCAGCCGCTGATTGCTTTGTGCGAGTTGTTTTATCAACAAAAATTAAAGAAAAAATTTGCATACCGAGGTTTCCACTGAATATTTTAATGCTTTTGTGTGCTTTCTTTAGTAACACAGTAAAGTTTTGATATTATTACGAAAACTTCTTAGCTTTGTGATTAATGTTTGCAGCTTACTTTGTTTCAGTAATAAAAGGTCTTGTAATTTATCAAAAACTCTAGTAACTTTTTTAATTTTTTATCAAAAGAAAAAAGAAAGAAAATTTAGCTGCCAAAATAAGTCTTATTTTTCAGTTATTCATGGCATATCATTAGACTACTTCATGAGATACTAAATCAAATAAGAAAATTTTATTGTAAGAACTGCACATATTGAATGTCACACAAAAATAATCACTGTATGCAATAAAATACTCAAATTGTGCAAGAAAATCTATTTAGCTAGTGGACCACTCATTACTGCTTTAAATTTAATCTTCAAAAGCAACAGTTTCGATATTTTTACCGTCTTTTTAATGAAAATGCTACGAAAGTATGTAAATAAATGTTGTAATGAATTTTGATGCAAATTCAATCCACATAATATTTCGAACTTTTGCCTCTTTATTACGCTTTCATCTTTTTGTGAATAATTTAAATAATAAGTTTTGTTTTGTTATTAGAACTTGACATGACAAAAAGAATAAACCTTATGGAAAGATATCACAAGTGTACATTTGATAAATTCATTCTGCTACTCCTTATGACTTGATAAAAATTTATTCTTACAAGTATTACCATCTTTATACCCTTCCATTATATTTTCTCAGATTTTTACCAAGAAAAATTTCGAATTCCTTACAATGTGTTCAATAATTTGTACTGAATTTAAAAATGCACACTAAAATCAGAATAGAATTGTTTATAGATATCTATATCAACTATTATTGTTGTTAAATATCTTTCATAATTATCCTCATATTATCAGTATTATTTTGTTATTGGATTTGATTTTGATTTGCTTTTAATCTGATATCTAATATTTTCTTTAGTTTTTATGATATAAATGTTGAAAATAATACCAACACACTAATAATGATGCAATTAAAGGTTTTCTAGCAATATTTTCCGAGGGAAAATGTAGAAGATCAAAAATTCATTAAGAATATAATGCTGAAACATGAAGCAACTTACTCCAAAAATTTTGTTATACTTTTGAAACTAACTTAGCATCAAGCAAGTTATGTTATTCCAAAAAGTAATTAGTTGATTAATTTTTTCCTTAATGTACAAAGTTTCAGGTTTGCTCGGTTATTAGTGTTATCAGTCGCACTAATATCAGTCATATACAATGTACCACACTTTTTCGAATTAACAACTATTGACTGCTTTGATGATGCAAGAAACAATTCATTGTCCGTACAAATTTGTCCCACTGGTATGTTTTTATTTACTGAAGTTAAACTTTCAATGTGTGCAGAGGTAAATGAGCTTTAATTAAATTAGTAGCAGTCATTGTAATCATATCAGCATATTTGTAGCAATCTTCATATGAAAGCAAATTTATTTACCACAAAAATAACAAAATATAATATGAGTATTATTAAGGTTGTGTTCATTAATAAAATGCATATCCTATCTAATTTTTGCATTGAAATCAGTAATTGACAGTATGTACTTTCATGTTTGATACAGGCACAAAAACTGGTATATATTTTAAAAATGAAATTATTGAATATTGTACTTCTGCTTTACTTTGTAATCTTTTTGAGATCTTCGAAACAATGAATTATATTATCAACTTTATTATACATATATGTATACAATATTTATGGCTGTTGGACCCCTTCTGCTCATTGTCATACTTAACGCGTTGGTTGTTCGGGTTGTTCTCAAAAAGGGAACTTCAGGTTAGTTATTTATACTCATGAGTTTGAAATTTCATTTTGGATACTTCATGAAAGCAATTTGAATTTAAACCGAAATACAAAGAAACTCATTGAAGACATAAAATCAAAGTTATTTCAGTTTTAAAAATTGAAGCCACTGCTAACACCGATACAGGATGAACGGGAACCCTTGTAGTACATAATAAAAAAACATCAGAATACTCAAAAGTAACAAAAAAATAAAATTATGGACTAGCTGGTCCAAGTGATAATAACTCATTATTATTTAAATTTTTGGCACTTTTTCATTTTCGATTTTGAGTAGATAAAGATTGCTGTCTCCCTTTAAATCTTTGTTAGATCTCTCTCTGAGCTAATCGTCAATAAAGTTAAGAATAGTTTCACTTGTTTTAGATGATTCTGACACAATAAGTTTGATATTGGTCGTCTTTATGTTTATTTTCTGCAATTCAGCTGCTCTCATGGTCAATTTCATTGAAATGGTTTTTGCAGAAAAAGTAATTTCTTCAAATCTGTTTTTTTCCTCTTTTTTTTAAATAAAGTGACAAAGTTATGAGTAAAGTATAATACAAATTTTTTAATGCCTAGCAGCATAAATTAGTAAATTAATCGATCTTTTTTTCAGATTAATCGAAAAACTCAAAAATCGTTCGCTAAAGACTTTTGCAAAATTTTATTAAAGTTTGATTTGAATCAACATTTTTTAAACTTTGATTATGTTAATAGAACAATTGTATAATCGAAATTATTAATGAAAAATATTTGAAAATTTTTTCGTAAATCAGTGCATATTTTTCAAGATCAGTACCGAAAAAAAAGAACTTTGAAATCATTTAATTAATGTACCTTAGGTTTATCATATGCTGGTATATTTGGTTGATATGTCAAATCTCTTGGTCGTGATCAATTGCACAGGCAATTTTTTCTGCTACCTATTTTTTGGTGCAAGCTTTAGACGTACGCTACGAAAAATTTTGGGTAAAAAATCACTGAAAACAAATTCAGTCTGGACTGCTTCAACAACTACTGCAAACAATTATATTCCACGAAATTTTTCACTGCAACTTGATAGCAATAGCCAGGGCAGAGAAATGAATATATGAAATTACATCTTTATCAATTTACCATTTTAATTTCAGTTTTAATTTCATTTTATTCCTATCACTTACAATTGAGTTTGATACAATTTATTTTGTTTCTTACTTCTATTACTATTTGTTACTATTTTTTCTTTTTTTTCCTTCAAAACTCATTCTTCTGATCCATTTATGATTTTTGATTTAATTCATTACAAATCTAGTTCCACTAATTTTTTTTCCAATTTACTAGTTTTTTAGTCATATTTTGTGATTATGAATTTTTAGTTTTAACGAAAATTTATTTTTGCACTTACATTCGTAGTAATAAATTTATTGTAAAGAAAGTGCAGAGCACTTTCTCGTTCAAAAAAATGTTATCAAATTACAGATAAATTATATGCTTTAGCTTTTTAGACGTACGCTACGAAAAATTTTGCGTAAAAAATCATTGAAAGCAAATTCAGTTTGGACTGCTTCAACAACCATTGCAAAGAGCTATATTATTTAGCTTTAGCATTTTTAGCATGAAAATTGACAGCTCTAATTTCAAGTCAAAAGATTCAAAATCAAGCCATTTGAATAAATTTAATAGCGTCTAAGTGTTTAGTAATAATAATTTTACTCAAAAGTTAGATGAAGTTGAATGAAAAATTTTCTCGATAAACTGATGCCTAATACCAGTTTTCAATGAAACAAACCTTTTTTATAGTACTTTTTTAATAAATTTTTTAGAAAATTTCATTTCATTTAAGTTAGAGTTTGACTTATTAAGCTGAATGCTTAATTGAATGAATAATTAAATAAAACACTAAAATGAAGTTGTCCCAAAGATCAGATATATGCAATTGAATTCAATGACTTTTGGTAGTAAATTTGACCTGGTAAATAACAAAAAAATAATTTGAATCAAAAAAAAGTCTAGTTAAATAACTGTAATTTATGAAAATAGCAAGTCTGTAAAAATAAAAAAATTAACAATTTAAAAGACTACTTATTTTTGTGCTTATATTTGTCTAATTACAATATTATAGATAAAAACTTTTCGAACATAAACTTGTATAATTGTTTGCCAATTTGAACATTTAAAGTAAAATGCTGCTTCATTCATTTTTGCTGGATATTTTCATTAACCTTACTCTTTTCTTATCCAGAATTTTAGTCTTAAATTATTTATCAAAATATCGTTTTCTTTAACATGCAAATTATTTTGCGCTGATATCTGCTGTCTTTTGGTTTAAGAGCTAAATTGAATTAGGAAACAACAATTATAAAAATACCTTCATTTCAAAAGAACTTTTCCTTGGAAAAATTTTTCCACCCAATGTTTTGTGTCGTGTATATTTGGCTTTTGATGTATATATTTTTATACGTTCAACAAATTGTTTAAAAAAGCGAAGACGAATTTTTTACACATGAGATGGAGTAATTCATGCTTTCATGAATGAGTTATGTATTTGTCAAAGGTTTCGATGTAAAGTATTTTGGGCTGAAAATACCTAAATTTAAAGTTTGAACATTTTTAAGTTCTGGATTTTCCTTGAATGATGAATTTTTATTTGTTTTGTATTGAATTTTTAGCTTGGAAAAATTTAATAATTATGTAATAATCGGACGTAATTATGTAATAATCATATTTCTTAACAAGTAATTATCATATTTCTTTTTCTTGTTAACTTGTGCCTAATGTCTTGTATTATATTTTAAAAATTATGTATGTAATGTTAGTTTGTATCTAATTTTTACTTTTTTAATCGCTTTATTAGTTGTGTGGTTATTACCATTTACTTTTATTGACCCAAAACTGTATTGTATATCTTCTGGATCTCAAATTAATCATAATAAAATGTAATCAAACTATCTAAACAATTGCTGCAGAAATGTTCCAAAAATTTTTTAAAAAAGTCAATAAAAACAATAATAGAGCATATTTGAGGATAATAAATATCTACTAAAATAGGGAATCAACAATATGAGTGAACTGCTTGCCGTAAGATTAAGTGAAACAATTTTGGAAAAAAAATGTTTTAATTAAAAAAAAAGAGTGAACTCAATAATATTTTTTTCATTTTTTTAACCCAATGAAATATTAAGTTATCTGGAAAAATATGGTTAAAATTTTTCAAAACAGCCATCGGCGCTGAGTTATTTTGAGCTTTATCGAGAAGTTTTTGCAAACAATTAGTCGCAAATAACTGGCATGAACAAATATAAGTAGCAAATAAACATAACACCAAAATGAAAAAGAAAATCCAATTTTTTATATCACAATTTTAATAAATTTGATAATTTTGCAAGAGTTGCACAACTTTTTTATGCTAAACTTGCGTGAATTTTGGTACACATATTGAAGTTGCAACAGTATTGTTTTCTGAACTACTTTTTTTTCAAGTTTGAAATTTTAAAAATGTCTTATTTATTTTTTATATAAAGATAGTTATCACAACAAATAACAAACATCATAAAAATGTAATCTTTATACAAAGATAGTTTACAAATGTGTGAGCAAAAATCAGTACACAATTTAGTTATCAAAGAAAGCATTTAAATGATTTATGAAGTTAATTTGAAAGTATAGTTTCGAAAATATTATAATAGGAAAATGCGATAAAAAGCGATGAATCTAAAATAATTACAGAAACATCATTTTCTGCAGTTACTTAATCCTGTTTGATTAGTAAAAACATTTGTAATATCAATAAAATAATCACAAATATAAAATTTCGGAGAGAATTTGGGGGTATTTCTTAGGTGTATTAGGGGTAATAGAAATTAGATATTTTACTTAGACTGTTTAATATTCAAATTTGCAGTTTTCCTTTCTTTAAAAAAGTGCTTTTAATTCATGAAAAACTTTTAGTTTTTTCTAATATAATTTTTTAAACTTGCAGCTTCTTCTAATGGAATTTTCTTAAATGTTGTAAAATTCTGTGTTGTAATAAATTTCCAATGATTTTTTTCCAAAGTGGATACGAATAAAGATCCAACTAAATATAAGAATTCCATCAAAATGTTGATAAATTTATAATGCAAACTTCTTCCTCGCAAAACATGATGAAAGCTCTGTTTATTAGATATCCTTATGAATTTTGTTGTTAAACACAGCAAAAATTTTTTGCCAAATAATTTTTTGTCCTGTGGGCTATTTTCAATAATTACATTTGTTTTAATTAAATCTTGTAGAAAGCGATTCAAGTAAAAGAATTGATTTAAGATTTGTTTGCAAAGCTCAAATTCTTCTTGGTGAAGGTATTAGAAGTTAATAAAAAAATTACCATGCTTATTTACTTTTTGTAGTAAATAAATAAATACATAAATAAACTTTACAAATAATACCACTCTATTATTTATCATGATCAAAATCATATTTAAAACTGATGTTACCGTTAATATAATTGTTATCACTCATTACTTTTCGTTCACATTTGTAACTTGCAGCCGTAATCACTGCTGAGAATACAACGGTAGCTTTCCTCCACTTCGCAGTTTGTTAGTTTGAAGATCAAAATCCAATCAATCATTAGCAAATCGATAAATCCTTCATCTGTTCAGTTGTCAGTTAAACTGCAAGTCTTCGTTGATCACTCTTGAAGATAATATATAAACTGATCTGAGGTGTGAGGTGTGAGGTGACGCAAGCAGAAAGCAAATTTTGAAGTCAATTTCTAAAAAACTACTGAATGCTGCCACTTTTATTCTTCACTTTTCTGCTGCTCTTTATTCATCTACTCAAAGCTTACGTCTCTTAGCAAAAAATCTTCTTACGTATTATCTCATTTTAACAAAACTTATTAATACTTTTACATGAAAATAAAGCATTCTTATATTTGCGTGTTGTAAATGCTTCATTCAAATGTGCGCATTATTAAAATAATAACCGTATAAAAAAATGCATACAATAAATGTATAATTCTATCTTTTTTAATTCAGTATACTACTAAAATTAAGCGCCAAGTATCAAATAGATTCTTTTTCTTTTTCACGTAACTTTTTGAATTTTATTCATGTTATTAAAGATGCTTTATTAATATGAGTATATAAATAAAAAAAAAGGATTATAAAAGTAAGTAGTAGATGATAGATGTTATAAAAGACTGCAAATGAGTGATCAAGAAATATCTGAAATATTTTTCTAGCTTACTGAGATTCCATACGGATTACAGATTTGATACATTTTGTTATGACATCTTTGTTAGTAATATATCACTTTACTTAACAGAGTGATATTTTTTATCTAATGCAAAAAGTAGCATGTGATTAATTCCTTTATGACTGCTTCATATTTGCAGGAATTAAGCGAAAATAAACGTATTTCATGCTATACGATTCATAACTTGGCATTAATCAGTTGGTAAAACTATTGCATCACTCAGTTAAATTTCACTGATTTTTCAGGTAAGGTAAAATTGCTAGAAAAAGAAGCTAAGTGAAGAGAGTAAATTTCAGTATGACATTGCAGATATGAATTATGTCTTTAATGTAGATGTGCAAAAAAACTAATTTAGAAAGTTTTAGTAAGCAGAAGCTTGCAATTTGCTGCTAAAAAGCATCGAGAGTGAATTATTTCATACGCAAAATTATTTCTTCTTCCTTCTTCTAATATTATTATCACTGCCAATTTGCTGATATGCGAATTCTGGTGAATAGTATTTGGAATAATATAAATTAACATTGCTTGAAAGATTCTTACCACAAATTTGAGTAATTATTATTATTATTATTTAAAGGAAATCAAACTTTGACCCATTTAAATGGTAAGTATAATAATTTCAGCTTAGTACATTCTATAATACAAATAATTACATTCCTCTTTCGTCATTATTTTCAATTAAATTAATTATAATTTATAAAAAAGAATAAAAAGTATAGCAGATTAAAACTTCAATTTAAAATTTGTTATTTTATGGTTGATGGCACAAAAATTTTTCTAAATATACAACTGTATTTAGAGATGTTGTTCGTCATCATGCTTTAATTTATTATGTGAAATAAAAACTTGCACTAAATTATCTCTCTATTCCTCTTTA